GGAACTCCCCCACACCCAGACGGGTCCATTCTCCGCCTTCCCTGGGAGCCCTCTGCCTCCCAGGCAGCCCTCACTCAATCCCTCATAAGCACCCGGCGAGAGAGGATGCCCTGTTCGTCTTTCCAGCTGGCTCCCTCATCTCTATTCTCTTATTTAGGCTTTCTGTGCCTTTATAAAATATTCCTAATATATCAATAGATACTTGCTATGGTCGCCGGGCACACGACCAACTACAGGCAATCACTGTTAACTGGTTAAAATGGGCTTACCACAGAGTTTGTTGTACAGAGGGCGCTTCCTGGTCCCAGCGTCTGATGTTGGTGCGCTCCTTAGCCCACAAAATCGCTATTTAAACTGCTCCACAGGGCTCCTCTCCTTCTTGACTCGAGTGCTAAGTCTCCAGGCTTCACAAAAGAACGCCTGACTTATTCTCCTCTTGATGGAGCACATAACAAGAGATTCTTCCTCTGCTACCAGGAGCTCAAAGACACTGCATTTTGCTCCTATGACTTCCACTACTCGAGTAAGGTCAAGAACCTCTTACTTGAGCCTCATGCCTTTCTCACAAAATTTTGACATCTCATGTCAAGTCATTTATTTATATCCTTACTCGCTGCCCATACTTTTAACTATTCCTCAACATGAACCAAGTGTTTACAATATACATTCACATGTCTATATCTCTTTGACCTCTCAGTTAGGTCAGGTCTGGCAGAATAACTCTCAGGGGTAGACTCGTTTTTCCAACAGCCTGAGATCATAACAGACGCATGGTGCAAGATTCAAGCCAAAAGGTAAGCAATGAAAGCAGTAAGCTAGACGCCCCACCACAAAAACCCAACCAGTCCCTGATGAATAGGAACATGCCAATATGCGTCCTTGAGGTTCAGGGACACCATCCAGGCATCCGGCTCGAAAAGAAGCCAGACCTGAGACAGTGGTCATCTGAAAGGAGGGGCAAGGAATCCAGGGGTTCAGACGGGACAAGTCCAGAAGGAACCGTAGATCTGCACAGTCCCTTTTCGGCACTGGAAACAGGCGGGAAACCCACCTGAGGGATTGGGTCATTTCGACCTCGCCCAAGCACACCCACTCTGAGGTGACCTGATGAAACGCAGGGGAAGAAGCCTGCCCCGCCAGCCCCGAACCACCCGAAGCAGGAGGACCCGTCCAACACCACCACAGGCCGGATGATATGACCCGAAACACCCACAAATTATGGGACCAAGCGTGAGTAAACAGAGCAAGCCTCCTCCCCATGCAGGAATATCCCTGCAAAAAAAATAAGGGGGGGGGGGGGCGAACCGCGAATGGGCCGACGCCTCTTACGAGAAGCCGAGTGACAGAGCGATGATCACGCTGACCAGACGATGCCGGCTCTGAAGGAAGTGCTGGCTCAGAAGTTGGCACCAGTGGCCCACCCCAACCAGCGGAACCTCGAGCCCTGACCCGACCCTTTCGTGAAGGCTGAGAATGTCCATCCCAGAGAACAAACAAGTCCGACATAGGATGACAACTAGACGAAGCCGCTTGCAGAAACTGTGTGACAGCAGCTTCTGCAAACAGCAACGGACAAAATGGCGACGAAAACCTAAGAGCCAGGGCCCAAACGGATTCCAAAGAGAGAGCGAGCACAGCCTGATGGCACGCGAGATGAGAAGCAAAGAACAGAGACCACTCAAGCACTCACAGACACCGCTTCCTTCAGGATAGGCGCAAACAGCTTCAACAGTGCGGTCGATGCCTGATGCGCCGAGGCCAGTACACGCGACAAAGGTCCGGCATGCAACGCCATCACATCCTCCTCAAGCCAGGCCGATGAGAGCTCGAGAAGGAAAAAGAAGCACAAGACTGATGCCAAATTCCCACTGGTGCGCAAATCCTCAGCAACCAAGGATTGGTTGCTGGGAAGGGAATAGATAGGAAGGGGGTAAGAAAACTCCTCCCTGCGAAGAGGGCACCAACACCCAAGCAATATCAAAGGGGGACCAAGGCCCTCAGGTCAACTCTTCCCCAGCCCCGGGATCCTCCAATTCGAGACCCGGGGCAGAGCCGTCTTACTTGCCATTAGATGCCATGGAAGACAAACAAAATGCTGATGTAATTTACACAGATTTTGCAAAAGCCTTTAACAAATGTAACCATGGTGTTATTGCACATAAAATGCGTTCAAAAGGAATTACCGGAAAAATAGGCAGATGGATATACAATTTCCTGACTAACAGAACCCAATGTGTAATAGTCAACAAAATAAAATCCAGCCCATCAACTGTGAAGAGCTCAGTCCTCCAGGGTACTGTGCTTGCTCCAGTACTTTTTCTCATCCTCATATCGGACATAGACAAGGACACAACCATCATCCTGTACAGACAAGGCACTGTATCATCCTTTGCAGATGACACTAGGATCTTCATGAGAGTAGGAAACATAGAGGTCACAGCAAACCTCCAATCAGATGTAAATTAGGTGTTTCAATGGGCTACAGAAAATTTGATATTTAATGAAGATAAGTTCCAGCTCATGTGCTACGGAAAAAAATGAAAATATAAAAATGGAAACCACGTTCAAAACTCAGGCAAATCATAACATAGAACGAAAAGGCAATGTAAAGGTTCTGGGTGTACTCACGTCGGAAGACCTTACCTTTAAAGAACACAATAAAATAGCTGTCACAACTGCAAGAAAAATGACAGGTTGGATAACAAGAACTTTTCACACTAGAGATGCTGTACCGATGATGATACTTTTCAAAATGCTAGTGCTCTCTAGAGTGGAGTTCTGCTGCACAATGACAGCCCCTTTCAAAGCTGGAGAAATTGCTGACCTGGAGAGCGTGCAGAGATCCTTTACTGCTAGAATCCACTCAGTAAAACATCTAAACTACTGAGACCAACTAAAGAGCCTAAATCTGTATTCCCTGGAGCGCAGGCGGGAGAGATACATAATAATCTATACATGGAAAATAATAGAGGGACTGGTCCCAAACCTGCACACAGAAATAACATCACATGAGACCAGAAGGCATGGCAGGATGTGCAGAATACCCATGTTGAAAAGCAGAGGTGCAACAGGTACTCTGAGAGAGAACTCTATCAATATCAGAGGCCCAAGACTGTTCAACACACTTCCACTACACATTAGGGACATAACTGGCCGACCCCTCACAGTGTTCAAGAGAGAACTTGACAAACGCCTCCAAAGGATACCTGATCAACCAGGCTGTGACTCATACGTCAGGCTGTGAGCAGCTGCGTCCAACAGCCTGGTTGATCAGTCCAGCAATCAGGAGGCCTGGTCGATGACCGGGCCGCAGGGACGCTAAGCCCCGGAAGCACCTCAAAGTAAAGCAAAGTCAAGGTACCTACCCTCTACCCCCTGAAGAAAAGGCAGAGTCCAGGGAAAGGGCTAAAAAGAAGGGGGCCTGCTGGTGGGGCCCAGATGCCTCGGAAGGAGGAACCGACTCAAATGCCTCTGTCCTCAACCTGAACGGGGCAGCCCCTGAAGTTGCCCGAGTCTCCTTACCAACTAAACCCTACCCCGACCCCGAAACCCTCAGATGTTTGGAAGTCGGAAGCAGGGAGGGATGTGCAGGATGAACAACAGGGAAAGGACCAGGGAGGTTGGACTGAACCAAAGTTGAAGCGACTGATGGCACCAGGTCTGGGTCCCTATAACAAATTTTCCCACCCGGATGCCCACCCAGGGCCATCCGGGTGGGAAACCAACCTAGCGCGTTGCAGAAACAGAAACCTAGCATGTAACACAAATGCTGCCTGTACCCTAACAGTAATGTCATCAGAATAGTACTAGAGAACAAACCGAGAACACGACTCGCAAGACTCCCGGTCAAAGGTGTCGTTGACCCAACAGGCTGCATGACGGAGGCAAAAGAGGTGACTGTCACCCTGAGACGAGGGCCCACAGCAAGCTTCGAAGCTCTAGGCAAGGTGTTGCTAACAGGTTCAAGACCCAAAGCTAATAAGGTGGAGATCAAAACACTGAAACCCCTGTGACGTGTACATTCATGGGGGCCTAACATAGGGCCAGCAAAATATGATAAATGGAATGATAGCCACACCAGGCAAGAAAAACAAAAACAAATGAAAACCTCACAAAAGTAGAATGTCCCCAGAGGAAACGGGAACTGGCCGCCTCATAGGTAGGCAGGCTGCATAACACCTTGATGTCCCAACCAGCACGATACCACTCCCTGCCCAAGGCCTGGTTAGGTTAGGTTAGGTTAGCCTGGTTGATACGGTTCTGGGAGTTCTTCTACTCTCCAAGCCCGGCCCGAGGCCAGGCTCGACTTGTGAGAGTCTGGTCCACCAGGCTGTTGCTTGGAGCGGCCCGCAGGGCCACATACCCACCACAGCCCGGCTGATCCGGAACTTCTCTTAGAAAACAGTCCAGTTTTCCAGAAAGCAGCAAAAACCCCTACGGAATTGGTTTCTGAATGCACCAGGGAAGAGAATTCTAACATGCAAGGGTAGTACTCACAGGGCACTTAGGGAAGGATGCCTCTAAGCGCATGCAGCCCCGGTACACTTGAGAACACCTGGCCACTACACACAACAACACCGCAGAAAGCAAACACTGCTTGGAAAGTGAGGCCAGAGAAGACGTCCGCCCACAGGTTCGCATTAGCTAGCGAACTGGAGTGGCTGGGTCACTGGTGCAGGGAGGTGGGGGGGGTCTGCGCAGACGAGCGACGCGGTGATTATATAATGTATTTAGTACTGTACTTACTGTGCATGGAAAATATTTTAATAATTTCATTTTAATAATATGAAACATTTGACCCTGAGGTTTAGCTTTGTGAGTAGATATTGTACCTGTGATAATTTCAGAATATATTTCCTATCATTTACCCATATATGGCACCAGTTGCTACTCTCGTTTACCTCCTGTGCTCAGATCGTCAAATGTTTGAGCCATTTTTTGGTTAAATGTTTTATGTGCTAAATGAAATGCCCTATTGATGCTGTTGTTATTATTAACAGGGTGTTGAAAGTCGAAATGAAAGAGAAGGCAAAACCTCGCCCTCTTGCACTGAACACTGTGGAACTGATGCGAGTGGCCAGCTCAGGTCTTGGAATGGGACCTCATCATGCCATGACCCTGGCTGAGAGACTGTACACGCAAGGATATATCTCGTATCCACGTACAGAAACAACGCATTACCCAGAAAATTTTGATCTCAAGTAAGGTTTGCTTCAAGGGTTGTATTTATGGAAAGTATTGTGACTAATGAATTGGATAATGTTAATCTTAAGATTATATGTACAAAGTTGGATGCAGTCCAGACACTTCTGAAAGTTTGTTTTTAGCCACTCACATTTAAAAAATAATCTACCTGATTGTATTAAATACCAGTAATATAAACATTGTGTACTTATGTTTTTGGGTTTGGTGTTGTAGATTTGTGACTGCATGAGTTTGAAAGTAGTTTCACATATCTGGTCTCTGTCAATTTTCTGCTCATTTTGTCCTCTTGTGGTAGCTTTTAAGAATATTTATTTTTATATTTGAATAATTACAATTTGTATTTTTTAAATTTTGTTCTTAATATTATTTGAATTATGAGATATGCCATCATACGAGACCGAGGATATCCTTCCGTGATTAAAATACTGTACTGTGTGTTGAAATAAGTTGGATAAGGGCATGGTTACTTCAAAGGAAACAGTTAGTATAAGGTCCCTGAGTTCTATCCTGGGGTGTCTGTGGTTTACCATATATACCATATAAGCAATTTAGATACAAGATTGAGCAGGAATATTTACAAATTTGAAGACATAGAAATTTTTGACATAGAAAAATAGAGCAGGAAGTAAACTCAGAAGACTCAAAATTGTTTCCAGATGATTTAGGTAGGGTTTTGAAATGGACAAAAGATTGGCAGATGCAATTTAATCCTAAAAAATGTAATGGGTCTGAGGCTGGGTAATAATGATCGAGTTATCGGATATTAGCTGGATAGTGTTGAAATTGTGAATTCTGATTGTGAAATTACTCTAGTCATGATTAGTAGGGATTTAATAAAAAATAATCAATTCATGAAGGTTTGAAATACAAAATATAATATTCAGGGATTTATTTCTAGAAGCATTATCAATAAAACAACTAACTATTCTTCAGCTATATCTTTCTCTTGTTAGGCCTCGGTTAGATTATGTAGTTGTTTGGTTGCCATACTGTAGAATGGAAATAAAATTGATAAGTTTAGATTCATGGAAGACCTGAGTACACACTGGTTTGGAAATAAGGTGGTTGATATATGGAATGAATTACCAGCTAACATAATAGATGTGGAATCACTTGACTGCTTCAAACATTAGTTAGACATATGAATGAATTTGGGTGGATTGAATAAGAGCTGCCTAGTGTGGGCCAATAGGCCTTTGCAATTTCTTATATGTCTTATATTATTTCCTTCATGTGTACACTGTATATGTACAATACTATCTTATGATTTTAATATATTAGAAATTTCTTGGTTATATTTTTAGTAATTTTTTTTAGTTTAATTGGAAAAGTCTGCTTTATCACAATTTGCTTATAAATTGAAGTTAATAGAAAGAACGTTGATAGACTAGTCTTCTTGGGTTGAGATATGTAAGTTTTCAATAGATTGGTACTTATCTGGGTTTTCTTCAATTACTGTATTATTAAATTATTCACATAATTTTTCCTTTGCAGGGGAGCTTTGAGAATTCAGGAAGGTCACAGTGACTGGGGCAGTATTGTCAGAGACATTCTAAAAGAAGGCATTCAGAGGCCAAAGAAAGGTCACGATGTAGGCGACCATCCTCCTATTACCCCAATGCGTTGTGCAGACAGAAGTCAGTTGGACCATGACTCATGGCGTTTGTATGAGTATATTACCAAGCATTTTATCGGTACAGTAAGTGCAGAATGTTAACTTGGTGTGTAATTTGTATCTACATTATTCACTTAACCAATAGTAATATACTGTTCTGTACAGACTTGGTGTTTGCAATTTTAACTATTTTTTGTTAAATATCCTATATTGTTAGATAAGAGTAATCATACAGATTATAGATTGGCATATAAAATAACAATAGATGTATATTACACAATGAGAGAAATTCCTAATTTTAGGATGTCACTAACATTATTTGTCATTAGTTTCAAAGTAGTCATGTGGCTTAATTTTATATTTAAAACAATTGAAAAAGTGTATTTTAAAACTGTACAAGTAATATTTGTAAATTGAGACCCAATAGATATATCTAGTGTGTAATTTTAGCTGAACGTGAAAATATTTATAGGCCTAATGTACAGATTTAGAAATGGCACAACCTATATACATTTATATATATATATATATATCTAGTGTGTAATTTACTCTCAAATATATTTTTCTTCATTCCAGCTAATGACTGACTGTATATACCTGAGTACAACCATCAGTCTTTCTATAGGGTCAGAAAACTTCAGCATATCTGGGAAACAGCTAATAGATCCTGGCTTCACTAAGGTACATTTAAGAGACTATTGTAATTAGTTTCACATATTAAAACTGAGTCAAATTCAAATAACAAATATATAGTAGATCTTTGCCACTTGTATTATGTGATGAGATGTCTGTATGGTGCTTTCTTATTAATGCATTGTGAATTATAAAACAAACATCCTGCTGGCACTCCTTAGACAATTTACAAAAATTTAAGTGATTGCATATACAGTATTGCATATACGGTGGTATAATTCTAGACTGCAATTGAATCTTAATTAAATACAGTGAACACAGTTTTCCATAGATAATGCTTATCGACTGTATTAGATCAGGAACTGAATAGAATGGGAAAATATTTAGTTTGAACCCGTGATGAGGATTTGAATATATGTGGTGGGAGTTCCCACACACACTGTAATTAGTGTGATTAATCTGTGCATTGAAAGAGGAGCATCAAAGGTAGAACATTCCTAGATGACAGAGCCAGAGTGCATGGAGGGGATTGTGTGAAAATCCTGGTCTGGCTTCAGTAGAAGCCTCAGGAAACCCTTGTGTGTTCAGTAGAACTCCAGGTTGCAATCCTTATTACCATGTCGTGGTCTAGTCACTAGAGCACGTGCTTGGGAACACCAACTGCATAGGTTCAAACCCTCATCACGGCTCCTACGGATTTTCTCAATGACAATAATTATAGATTTTATTTACAAAGTTATTATACTGTATATTTATAATATGTAGTATACACTGGGTCACAACATTCAGCTCTAGCCTTTCTTACTTGCAGGTGATGGACTGGCTAGCATTGCAAGATGAGGAGAAATTACCTGACCTTAAACCTGGAGATGATTTACCTATCATTGAGGTATGTGATCTGTAGATGTTTAAATTTAAATTCAAATTAAGTATACATGAGTGACTAAGTGATGGGTAAACATCAGAACCATGGAGGGTTGTTCATCAACATTGATTTTAATGTACACACTTTTGCATCTACAGTATATGTTTTGAACTAAATAAATGAACGTATAATTTTGGCATGTTGTATTCTTTAATATGATAACTCGTGTACGATGTAGCAGTACACAGGTTTGACGGGCAAACGAGTGATTGCTGCATGTTTCACTCTCTGTTGTTAGCACTAAAATATTGTTTGTTTCTTACATTACTTTCTTATTTGAACATTATGATGGAAAATAAGTAAATACTGCACAAAAAGTATTTGTTTGCTCCAGTGGCTGTGAGTGAAGTGTGGCGCACACATTTTTCTCCATCGTGCACCAATGTGCCCATGTAATTACCTAAGTGTAGTTACAGGATGAGAGCTACGCTCGTGGTGTCCCGTCTTCCCAGCACTCTTTGTCATATAACGCTTTGAAACTACTGACGGTCTTGGCCTCCACCACCTTCTCACTTAACTTGTTCCAACCGTCTACCACTCTATTTGCGAAGGTGAATTTTCTTATATTTCTTAGGCATCTGTGTTTAGCTAGTTTAAATCTATGACCTCTTGTTCTTGAAATTCCAGGTCTCAGGAAGTCTTCCCTGTCGATTTTATCAATTCCTGTAACTATTTTGTATGTAGTGATCATATCACCTCTTTTTCTTCTGTCTTCTAGTTTTGGCATATTTAATGCTTCTAACCTCTCCTCGTAGCTCTTGCCCTTCAGTTCTGGGAGCCACTTAGTAGCATGTCTTTGCACCTTTTCCAGTTTGTTGATGTGCTTCTTAAGATATGGGCACCACACAACAGCTGCATATTCTAGCTTTGGCCTAACAAAAGTCATGAACAATTTCTTTAGTATATCGCCATCCATGTATTTAAATGCAATTCTGAAGTTAGAAAGCATAGCATAGGCTCCTTGCACAATATTCTTTATGTGGTCCTCAGGTGATAGTTTTCTATCTAGAACCACTCCTAGATCTCTTTCTTTATCAGAATTCTTTAAAGATTTCTCACATAATATATAGGTTGTGTGGGGTCTATGTTCTCCTATTCCACATTCCATAACATGACATTTATTAACATTAAATTCCATTTGCCAAGTGGTGCTCCATATACTTATTTTGTCCAGGTCTTCTTGAAGGGCATGACAGTCATCTAAATTTCTTATCCTTCCTATTATCTTAGCATCATCAGCAAACATGTTCATATAATTCTGTATACCAACTGGTAGATCATTTATGTACACAATAAACATCACTGGTGCAAGAACTGAACCCTGTGGTACTCCACTTGTGACATTTCTCCATTCTGATACATTGCCTCTGATTACTGCCCTCATTTTTCTATCAGTCAGAAAATTTTTCATCCATGATAGAAGCTTACCTGTCACCCCTCCAATATTTTCCAGTTTCCAGAACAACCTCTTATGTGGAACTCTGTCGAAAGCCTTTTTTAGGTCCAGATAGATGCAGTCAACCCAACCATCTCTTTCCTGTAATATCTCTGTGGCTCGATCATAGAAACTGAGTAAATTCGATACACAGGATCTTCCAGATCGAAAACCATACTGTCTGTCTGATATTATATCATTTCTCTCTAGGTGTTCTACCCATTTAGTTTTGATTAGTTTTTCCAATACTTTCACTATTACACTTGTCAATGATACAGGTCTATAATTGAGGGGGTCTTCCCTGCTGCCACTTTTGTAGATTGGAACTATGTTAGCCTGTTTCCACCCGTCTGCTACGATTCCTGTACACAGGGATGCCTGAAAGATCAGGTGAAGTGGAATGCTGAGCTCAGATGCACATTCTCTCAGAACCCATGGTGAAACGCCATCTGGGCCAGCTGCTTTGTTCTTACCGAGCTCCTTGAGCATTTTTTCCACTTCGTCTCTAGACACCTCTATGTGTTCTATGTTGTTCTCTGGAATTCTTATTGTATCTGGTTCCCTAAAGATTTCATTTTGTACAAACATACTTTGGAACTTTTCGTTTAGTGTTTCACACATTTCCTTTTCATCTTCCGTGAATGTATTTCCCATTTTCAACCTCTGAATATTATCCTTTACCTGCAATTTGTTGTTTATGAATTTATAGAATAGACCTGGTTCTGTTTTACATTTGTCCGCAATCCCTTTTTCAAAATTTCTTTCTGCCTCTCTCCTAACTGCCGTGTAGTTGTTTCTCGCATCTTTGTATCGCTGGTATGTTTGGGGGTTCGGCCTCTTCCTGTATTGATTCCATTTTTGTGTCTTTCGGTCTCTAGCCCTCTCGCAATTTCTATTGAACCAATCCTGTTTCCTAGCTCTGCATCTCTGTTTGGTATAAATTTTTTTGTGCCTTTATCATATATTTCACAAAACTTGCCATACATCTCATTCACTTCCTTGCCTAGCATCAAGTCTGTCCAATTATACTCACTAAAAAAATTTCTAAGGTCACCATAATGTCCTCTCCTGAAGTCTGGTTTTTCAACTGCTTCAACCTCCTTATTTTCTTCCAGCTTATAACGCATTGCATACTTTATTCCCAAAAAGACATGGTCACTTTTACCCAAGGGAGGAAGGTACTGAATGTCAAATATCTCTTCCTCCTTCCTGGTAAATATCAAATCTAGCATGGAGGGAACGTCCCCTTCCCTCATCCTCGTAGCTTGTTTAACATGTTGATACAAGAATGTTTCCAGGATGAGGTCTACAAATTTACAGGTCCAAAAATCTTCTGTTTTAGCTTCATATGCTTCCCAGTCTATGGATTTCAAGTTGAAGTCACCGACTATCAACAGTCGTGATCTATCGTTATCCGCTCTCGCTATAATCTCTCTCATTATTGTTATAAGACCTTCACGTTTACTATCTAGCTCCTCCTTTGACCATGTGCTGCTTGGCGGTGGACTATATGCATTTATCATCATTAGTTTATCATCCTCATAGCAGATCTCTAGTGCTATTATGTCAACTTCTTGTGGATTGGCAGTCATTATTTCCTTCACCTTTAGGTGTTCTTTTACCAGCACAGCAACGCCACCGCCTTTCCTAATTTTTCTGTCCCGTCTCCAAATTGAGTAGCCCCTTGGGAATATGACCTCATTTAAAATTACATCTTCAAGTTTTGTCTCCGTGAGTGCAACAATGTCTGGTGTCTGCAGCTGTATTACATCACTTAACTCCAGTATCTTCGATCTCACTCCATCTATGTTGGTGTATGCAATCTTCAGGAACTTGTTCCCCCTCTCCTTATTCTTCACTCCCCCTCTCTCTATTGATTTTGATGGTTTGCCTTTATGTACCACTTTACTGGTTTGCCTACCCCTATCACTTTGTAGAAAAAAGAATTTATTTCTTCTTCATTCCTGCTCTCATTTAAATGTTTTGCCTCGGCGAGGTTCAGTTTCAGCTTCTCTCTATCTTCTTTTGAAAGATCTCGTCTTAACGACCACCCTTTCCCATCCTCATCCCTTTGCAATTTTCTAGCATTCCTTAGTACTTCTTCCATCTGTTTGGCACCGTTTAGGGTGATCCTCAAAGGTCGATCTTTCCCTTTTACGTACCTGCCTATTCTCCTGTAGTCGCACACATTCTCTCTGTTTGTAAGACCTTCCACGAGGCCAACAATTTTATCTACTACTTTAGCTTCTTCTACAGCTCTTTCTGACCTAGATGTTATCGCCTTTTCTTTGCAGCCAAAAATGATCAGGGACTTACTCCGATCAACTGTGTTTTGCACCAACTTCGGGTTAGATGCCAATTCTTTCCTCACTTCTAGCCTAATGTTCGTTTTATCTTGGTTGCTGCAGTGTTTGACTTCCTTTACTGCTTCTTCTATTTTTTCCTTCTCCTTGGCCACTTGTGCATAAGTGAGTTGCATATCTTTCTTGCACTGTTCTATTCCCTGTGTAACTTCCTCCATCTGTGCTGACAAAAGCTGTTTCTCCTGTTGAATTTCCTTGCCTAACCTATTGTAGTCATTTATGTTTAAATTTACTTTAACTTCTTCCAAAGCTATTTTTAAGAGTTTATTTTCTTCTTCCATGGCTTTGCAATTTGTTTCCAATTGATTCTTATCCTTGCGCAAGTCTTTCACTAAACCCTCAAGACATAAAACTTTGCTATTCAAATGGTCATTACTTTCTTTCAATTTACTAATTATTTCTACATGAGAGTTCACTATAGTATCTAAATTTACCAACTTGTTATGTAGACTACTAATATCAATGCTTTCTTCATTGAATCCCTCAAAATCAAGCTCTGTTTTGTTTTTCCCCTTGCCAGTGGCCATCTTGAATGTTCTTCTCTGCACTGTAAACACTAGGGCAACTTTTTCTCATCCGATTTTTCACTTCCCTTAGCACTTTCCTGTTATCTCACCTATTTTTCAAGAGCACTATACCTTTATGTTCTCTGGGACACCACTCACTACCATCAACCTGTACTACAATACTTAGGATTGTTGAAATATGCTGGAGCTCCTCTGCTGCAAGTGTTGACCCTAGGGGTGTCACCTTTTTCATGTCATACGTCACCATACGTCATTTCATGTCATACGTCATATGTCACCATGTCATACGGGCACAATGTTTATGCAAAACATTAATGCTTTGTGTAGCTGTTATACTATAGTGCCTCTTTCTGTGGGCAGCCCCTACAACTCCCTGAACCTGTCAGGCTATTTGTGATATATTAGACTGGGGCATTAGTCTATGGAGCTTAGCCTACCTGGGACCACAAGCCAGAACCTGCCCCCTCAGAGAGGTTCAAGGAGCAGTGGCCCTGGAAAATCCCCCTGTGATAAGGGGTTTTCCTTATCTGAAGTCGACTGGGGTTAGGCACCCAGAAAGGTAGGCATAACAAAACAAACCCCACATGGTAAGAAAATTACAACTAAAAACTGAAAAGAGAAGCAGAACTTCTTCCAGTCCCAAGGAAACAAGCAAACATCATACTCCACCACCGCGCCACTCGACCGCACAGCCCTCCTCTTTCCTAGAGGGGGAGGGGGGAGCCCCGGATATCCCCACACCGGCTGCATAGCACTCAGGTTCGTTCGCTAATGTGGTCCGGAGTGGACATTTTCTCTGGCCTTGATTTCCAAGGTGGTGTTTTGCCTTCGTGGTGACCTTTGCAGTGTTGTGTGTGGTGGCCAGGTGTCCTCATCAGTGCCAGGGCTGCATGTGCTTAGGGGCATCCTTTCCTAGGTGCCCTGTGAGTACTGCCCATGAGTGTTAGGATTCCCTTCCCGGGTGCGTTCAGGAAACCATTTGAGTAAGGGTTTTTGCTGCTCGGCATTTACCCTGCCCATGGGGCCAACTGGGGTTTCATGGCCCTTGTTTGGCCTTGGGTAGGGTGTGGTATTGTACTGGTTGGGGTGTCAAGGTGTTGTGCCATTTTCCTACATAGGTAGCCTGTTCCCGTTCCTTCTGGGGACGTTGTACTTTTTACTTTTTACTTTTTTTTTTTTTTTTTTTTTTTTCTCTTGCCTGGTGGAGGTCTGCCTGGTGTAGCTATAGTTCCACTTATAATATTTTGGTGGCCCTCTGCTAGGCCCCCTGTAATTGTACACATCGCAGGGCTTTCAGTGTTTTGATCTTCCCCTTGATAGTTTTTGGTCTTAACACACTCGTCTGGCGGGGACGGATATTGCGTCCATAAATTACTTAGACACATGTCCGGCTGTGACCCGTTTTGCATCCAAAATTAAAATATTTGTTAAAATTTAATTTTTCCCGATCATTATGGGACTAGTTAAAATGGGCGCCTTTAGATTCCGAACAATTTGATACCAGAATGAACAATGTAGCATGAAAATTGATGTGAGGAAAACTGAAAAGAGTTGGCACATTTTAGTGTTGGGTGAGCGCTGATGAGAAACGTCCCCGCACACCGGGGGCGCGAAAGTGTTAACCGATTGGCAATACCTTGCCTGAGTTTCATGTAGCAGTCAGCTTATGGGCCCTGGAAAACCCCTGTCAAGGCTTGGTGGACTTATGGGTGAGTCTTCCAAGTTAGTCTTACAAGTTCCAGCCCACCTCGTGCGGGTTCTATGGTCGTCTCAGGGTCTAGGGTCATCCTTGTCTCAGGATGACAGTCACCTCTTTTACCTCCATCATGCTGCCTGTTGGGTCACTGACACCTTTGACCCGGAGTCTTGCGAGTTGTGTTCTCTGCTTGTTCTCCAGTACTATTCTGATGACATTACTGTTAGGATACAGGCAGCATCCGCATTATATGCTAGGGTTAGGTTGCTGCAACATGCTAGGTTGGTACCCACCAGGATGCTACACGGCTGCCCTGCTTTTGTTATAGGGACCTGGATTTTTTTTTTTTCAGCTGGGGGTGCTAGTCACTTCGACTTAGGTTTAGTCCGTGTTCCCTGGTCCTTCCCCTGTTGTTCATCCTGCACCTTCCACCCCCCCCCCCCCCCCCCTCCCTGCTTCCGACTCCCAAACGTCTGAGGGTTTCGGGGTCAGGGCAAGGCTTAGTTGGTAATGAAACTGTGGCAGCTTCGAGGATTGCCCTGTTCGGGTTGGGGGGTGGAGGCATTCAAGCCGGTTCCTCCTACCGAGGCTTGTGGGTCCCACCAGTAGGCCCCCTTCTTTTCTGCCTGTTCTTCAGAGGTAGAAGGTATGGAGGACTGCTCTTCTCCTGGTCCCGACTTGGGAGATCCCAGGGCTGGGAAGAAGTCAACCTTGGGCCTCCTTTGACCCTGCTTAGGTGTTGGTGCCCTCTTCGTGGTTTTGTTGTTGCAGAGGGAGGGGTTTTTGTATCCCCCCTTCCTTGTATAAGTATGATTTGAAGTCATCTCCTCTCTGGGTTTTGTTCCAGGCTCTTTTGGGTTCCTCAGCCCCTTCCTTCTGAAGGTTTTCTGCCTCTCGTATCTTCCCTAGGGAGGTTCAGGAGGCTCTTGCTGCATATCTCCTGCGAGATCCGAATTCCGCCTCTGTGATGGATCCATCCTTGTTTGAGTTCAGTTTTTCTTCCCCCATATTGGGTGCGTTTGGAGGTTCTGGAGTCTTCCTAGCTGGCAGATTGCCCATTCTTTTTGTTGGAGACTTGGCATGGGCTCTGTCAGACCCGCATACTTGAGTGGTTAGAAACTTCTACCATTTTGCAGGTTTACCCCTAGGTAAACCTGCAGGTTTGTGTGCCTTAATGCATGCTTGTTCACCCCTGTGCTTTCTTGGGATGTTGGCCTTGTTCAGCTGCACATGCAGGTTCCTACCCTTTTGGTGTCTTTGATTGCTGAGGACTTGTGCGCTCGTGGGAATGTGGCTTTGGTCTTGCGCTTCTTTTCCCTTCACGAACTACGTTCGGCTTGGCTTGAAGAGGATGTGGTGGTGTTGAGTGCTTTGGCTTCATCTGTCCTTGGGCATCAGCCGTGCTGTTGAAGCTGTTTACGCCTATGCTGAAGGAGGCAGTGTCTGTTTGTTCTTTGCTTCTAGCCTCGCTTGCCATCAGGCTGTGCTAGCTCTCTCTTTGGAATTCGCTTGGGCCCTGGCTCTTAGGTTTTCATCGCCGTTTTGTCTGTTGCTGTTTGGGGTGTCTGCTCTCACACAGTTTCTGCAGGTGGTGTTGTCTAGTTGTCGTCCTATGTTGGACTTTTTGGTTCTCCAGGATGGCCGTTCTAGGCCTTCTCGGAAGGATTGTGCCAGGGCTCGGGGTTCGGTGAGCTTCATGCTGCTCCTCTTCTCTTCATGCTCGCAGGCGTTTCTGCTCTTTCGGTCCTGGTGGCCGGTTTGTTCGGTTGCAGCCTTCTCCTTGTTTTCTGGCGAAGAACAAGAACCCCTCAACCTGCTTTCCGGAGGAGTCCTTGGGTCATTGGTGCTTGATTGGTCAGGCCGAGGGTGCATCATGTGTTGTGTCCGGTTGCGGCTCTTCTCCATTATCTGCACACCGGCTTCAGTGGCTGGGGTTGCACTTTGGGTCGATGCAGTTTCACTCGTTCCCTTTTCCAGAGCTTGGGTCGCCCAGGTCGTCTGCAGAGTTATCAAGTCTAGCCAGCCTGAGATCTATCCTCGTGCCCATGATGTTAGGATGTTTGCTGCATTGGCTGCTGTTTTTGGCAATGTGTCTTAGGAGTGATATTCGGGAGCTGGGATTTTGAAGGTTGAACAGGGGTCCTGGCTGCCAGTTAATTGGTTAACATTCTTGCTCCTGGGTGTTCCTGTGCTGCTTTTTGTAGCAGGTTGCAGGCAGTTGTCTCGACTTCGCATTGAGTAGTATGTGGCTGCCGCCTCCCAGGTAAGTTCTTCGTTTTCTTATCTTTGGGTATGTAGCTATATGGAGTCGTAGGGGCTCCCCACAGAAAACCAGCGTTGAATGTAAGGAAACACCATTTTCTGGGAAAGCCCTGGAGGCTCCATGGCCACCCTCGCTCCCTCCGGTCGGCGGGTTTTCGCGTTTTGATGCTTATCTTCCGAACTAGAGTGCTAGGTAACTGGCGCGGGGAGGGCTGTGCGGACGAGCGGTGCAGCAATGGAGTGTGGCATTTGCTTGTTTCCTTGGAATTGGAGGTAGTTTTGCTTTTCTTTTCAGTTTTTAGTTGTAATTATCTTACCATGTTCGGTTTTTGTTATGCCTATCTTTCTGGGTGCCTAACCCTGGTTGATGGCAGATAAGGAAAAACCCCAACCACAGGAGGGTTTTCCAGGGCCATTACTCCCTAAACCTCTCTGAGAGGGGCCAAGTTCTGGCTCGTGGTCCCCAGTAGGCTGAACTCCATAGACTAGACATAGCCCGGTCTAATATATCACACATTAGCCCGATAGCTCCAAAGGAGCCTCTGGGGCTCACCCAGAAAATGGCATTTCATTACATTCAATGCTGGTTTTTTAAACTAAAGAAATCTGCCTGTTAGGAGAGGTTTAATTCCTTTTTCAATATTTTGGATGTTTTAAGATTCTTGAAAGTTATACAATATACTGCATAATACTAAATATCTTTTGACAACTTGTACTTGTGATGCTGTGAAGTGTGTAAAATGTGGCCTCCACTTCATGAGACTTGAAAATGGGGTTGGAGATGACTACCAGTGTGCTCTCAAGACTAAGACAATTCTTGTTTTTCTTAGGCAAAGCTCAGTGAACGACAAACATCTCCTCCAGATTACTTGACTGAATCAGAATTGATTAGCCTGATGGAAAAACATGGTATTGGTACAGATGCCTCAATCCCTGTACACATTAACAATATTTCCCAAAGAAATTATGTTCAAGTGGCAACAGGACGTAAGTTGGTGCCGACCAGCTTGGGCATTGTCTTGGTTCATGGCTATCAAAAGGCAAGTTTTGTATTTGTTATTTTATAGCATTTAACATTTTATTAAATATACACTTTGGTTATAGCTAACTTTTGTTAGCAAGCTGAACTCTAAGCTTAATTTCTAATCCTGCAAATGTTTATTCAAACATTTTCTGAACATTTCTTGTGCATTCCATATTATTTTTTCCTCTTAATTGGGTAGGGAGATGGTAAAAGGCATATCTAAATCTACTACCAAGATAGACCACTCACTATGACACCAAAGAATACTTGACACACCTATACTCATTGGACTCCTAGATATACAATTTCAGTATTATAAAATTATAAAAATACTTAAATAGTAAACTACCTACTACACTACCTGCCTTCAGATGTCAGCACTAGCTACCACAACAGGGTCAGAGAAGGTGGCATCCTTCACTTTATGCCTGACATTCATCTGCTAAATTCCCAAGTCTGTAGAGGTCAATTCAGTTAAGTTGGCTAGTTATTCTTTGAAATTTAGGTTGTGCTGTTTCCTCTGAGAAAGTGCAGTGTGCATCCGATGCTGGGAGACCTCATCAGGGTCAAACTTGGGCTCCTGGGGCTGGGGCAGGCAGGCTTTGCTTGGGTGGGTAGACTTTTCTGAGGCTTCTTTTGGGTGGGTGGGTTAGGCAGGCAGGCTGGCGGACTATCACAGACTGGCTGTGGTCACGCCACATTCCCCTCAGCTTTCCCATCCCCTTTACATGCTACTCCCTGCCATATGCACACCGAACCCTCTCAAAAATATCCCCCCACCCTTCCAACCACATCTAGAAGGTCGGTATGGGATTAATATGGTTTGGTTCAGATTCTCGGCTTCCTTCCTACTAACAGGTGGCCTTGGAGGCAATCTGCACTGCCTGACATCTTTATTTATTCTCTGCTTTCTTCCTACCAGTAGGTGGCCTTGGAGGCAACCTGCACTGCCTGACATCTTTATTTATAAATTTATTTATTTATTTATTTATTTATTTATTTATTTTATTTATATATAAGAAGGTACATTGGGTTTGTGAGTACATAATGTTGGTATTCTATAAACATTATCAGACTCATGTTGTTTACAAACTGACTGGTTGTTACCACAACTGAAAATGCCTAACTGCCCTTGAATGGTTATGACTGACTGACTGACTTGTGACTGAATGCCTGACTGACTTTGACTTGACCATGGCTGCCTCTGACTGGATGCAACTGTGGCTAGTTCTAACTACATGCTGCATAACAGAAGCAGTGAAATCTGTGAAGGGATAATGTAACTGCTGGCTTAGCAAGGGTAAAGTTGTCACAACAATCATAATAATTTAATTAATCAATAATTTAATTGATACCTCTAATTTAATACATACCGGACTCTATAAACTCAATACTGTATTCCGGATTTAACGGTCAATGATTCAAAGTAAGGCGTCAGCTAACGATCTAAAAATTGGTTGTTAGAACCGGCGGAAGAGTAAATATGGGGTCCTTAAATCGAGTGGATACTACTATGTTAATGCATAATTAAAAATATTTCAGATTGATCCTGATTTGGTGCTGCCAACTATGAGAAGTGCAGTGGAAGAGCAACTTAATCTAATTGCTCTTGGAAAAGCAGACTTTGATTCTGTCTTGACCCATACATTGGAGATATTTCAGCTCAAGTTCCAGTACTTTGTCAAGAACATAGAAGGAATGGATGAGCTGTTTGAAGTGACATTTTCACCTCTCTCTGCTAGTGGGAGACCACTGTCAAGGTAAATGATGGACAGTTATATTGCAAGACTCTCATGTATTGACTAACATTGAATGTTTTTGATGACTTGCTTTTATATTAATAATGATGATTTGACGTGAGGTACAGCGGTTGATGTTGCATGATTTTGGCAATCTTCCTAACTAGTCTGCAAGAACATTATGGTAAAAAAAAAATCAGTACATCCACAAGAAAACCTTTGCAAACTTTGTAAGCTCATGTTTATCAAATCTTAATTTCATTTATTCTGTTTTTATTGGGTTTCAATGATTTTGTGGTTTACACATGGTGGCTGCTGTTTCATTTTTTCCCATCTCAGTGATCTTACTGGCATCTACCCTGTGTGAAGGGCTATGATAGGCCTGTGGCCGATGGCATCAGCATTGGCCTCTGCCTTCTGTGAGGGGCAATGGCATGGGTACTGGCATTGGTCTCCGAACCTTTGTGGATATGGCTGTTCTCCTCTGCCTTATTTGCGGAGGCTTTGGTCACTCTTTCTCTCTATTTTTCTCATTTGTTAGGCTCTGTGGGGCTTCAGCTGGTGTGTCCTTGGGCTTTAGTGATGGGTGGGTGATTTTTTATTGTAATTACCAAATTGTAATTACACTTTGTTAGTATTTATATGTAGAAGTCATATTGCCTCTTTTCCTCTTGTCTTCTAGCCTTAGCATGTTTAACCCCTGCACTGCGCACCTGTTTCATGTGACAACTTCGTGGTGCACTTATTAATGAATTAACATTAATTGAAAATGTTTGAAAACAAGGATACAGTATTGTCAAAATATTGCCAAACTCGACAATTTTCATTAAAGTGAAAAAACATTAAAAGACTTAAAATACTGCCAAATTAAAATGTTTTGGACCCCCATCGAGTACTTTAAGGCACTGCGCAATGCAGTGGCTAACCCTAGGGCAGTAGCTATGAAAAATGGTCATACTTGCCTGTGTACAAAAAATTAAGAACAAAATCTGAAATAATCTTTCATTGTAAAATTATTAATTTGTATGCAAAATGTAATAAAAACACAAAAATAAGTGAATATTTATAATTTCATTGGTTGGAGGCACTCTGAGAGGCTGTCTGGTGCCTGTCAACGCCTCGTGCTCAACTTTACCGATGCTTCCTGTGTTATCCTTGGATGTTTCACCTCTGGTTTCTCTTTATTTACAAGTGTGTGTGTATGTGTGTGTGTGTGTGTGTGTTGAATAACTTGATAAATCACATAATTCCCAAAGCACATGATAATGTTTCAATTAATGATTGGTTTACTTGGTGTACTTCATTACATCCAATATCCTTAGTGAAAAGGATATGAACATAATATTTAATGATGTTGGGCTCTGGGTGATGACATATGGCCTAATTGGCACCATATGGGTGAGAGTATAGATTGAAAAAAAGCATAAGCCACCAATTTGCACCCACAGATGATAATCGTCATATAATAACTGCATTCACCTAGTAAGTAACTACTGTAATGAGTAACAGGATTTACTAGTAACTAATGAGAGCAGAATTTTTTTTCAAGGGTCAAGGTAAACTCAATTATATCCACATGATCTATTACAATATATTCTTATTGGCATCATATGTGTGTAACACCCTTACAATAATAGTTTAAATTGTCATATGACGATAATCATATGCAGGCGATGAGTCACAATAACTTGGCTGAAGTATGTTGACCAGACCACACACTAGATGGTGAAGGGACGACGACGTTTCGGTCCGTCCTGGACCATTCTCAAGTTGATTCGGTCCAGGACGGACCGAAACGTCGTCGTCCCTTCACCTTCTAGTGTGTGGTCTGGTCAACATGACGATAACCACATTACCCCGTGAATCAACATATGACAATGACTGCTGCCTAAGGGTTGATGCCTCTAGCCTCTCATAGCTCATGTTCTCAAGTTCTAAGAGCCATTTGGTAGCATCTCTTTGCACCATTTCTAATTAGTTAATATGCCTCTTTAGATATGGGTACAACACAACTGCTGCATATTCCAATTTTGGTCTCTCAAATTGCATGCACAGTTTCTTTAATATTTCTCCATCCATATATTTAAATGCAGTTATGGAATTTGCTACCAGAGTGTAGACTCCTCACAATGCCCTCTATGTGGTTCTCTGGTGACAAGTTACTATCCAGAACCACTCCTAGATCTCTTTCTCAGTCCAGGTTCCTCAATATCCCTTCACATAATTTATAGGTTGCATGTGGCCTATTTTCCCCTTATTTCTTGTTTCATAAAATTTATTCACATTGAATTCCCTCTGTCATATGCTACTCTATTCACCTTTGTTCAGGCCATCTTGAAGGGCATGCCAGTCATTTTAGTCTTTTATTTTCCTTAGTAATGTAACATCATTAGCAAACATGTTCATATAATTCTGTCTCCCCCTCTGGTAGACCATTTTTACAGACCACTGGTTCCCAAACTGGGGCCCATGGCCCACTGGGCCCCCTAACTTTTTGCAATATGTAGGGGGGCTATAAGTTGAGGCAGTGTACAGGTTATGATACCAGAGAGGGCCTTTACTGGGTGTAGGGGCCATTAATAAGGCCTCTATATGAAGAAGGGGTAATGACTAAAAACTTTGGGAACCACTGATATAGACAGTGAACATTTCTGGCACTAGTGCTGAATCTTGTGGTAGTCTGCTAGTAACATTTCTCCAATCTGCTTCTAATTGCTGCCTTCATTTTTCTGTCGGCAAATTTTCAGACTTTCCCATATGATATCTGTAGCTTTATCATCAAAGCTAAGTAAATTTGTTATCCACGCTCTTCCCATTTGAAAGTCTTATATATTTCTTACATAATTCCTTTCCCATTTAGTTTTACTTATCTCTTTGTAGTGATATAACTACCACTCTTGTCAATGATGCAGGTCTATAATTTTGAAGGTCTTGCCTGTTACCACTTTTATAGATTGGAACAGTTTCCCTTTTTCCATATATTTGCTAGATTTCCTGTATGTAAGGATGCCTGAAAAATAATTTGTAGTGGCATTCCACTTCATGGAACCGGTGGCTTTCAGGATTTTTGGACAGGGTCCAAGTTGGCTCCCAGTTGCTAACTGCTTGCTAACTCCCTACACCTTTCAAATTACACCAAGCCCTTGTGAGTCATTAAGAGCCTACCAAAGACCAGAAGTCAAAGTCTGTTTCCTCAAAGAGGTATAAACAGCAAAGGATACTAGATCATCCTAACCGAGGAAGTAACCACCAGATAGGTGAGACAAAACAGACAACAGCAGTACAAGACAAAAACAATACAGAAAATGGGAGCTCCCAGTAGCTAAGTAGTTCCACCACTGGTTCCATCTCCCCACCACTAGGTGGTAGCCAATCTTTGCTTATTGAGTTTTTACCACAATACAAATGGTGGCACACCAGGTCCCATACGGACGTGGTGTGCCTCCATCTGTATGGGAGTTGAGTAGTTTTCACTTGATTTTGCATTTGAATCTTCACAGTGGCAGTATTATATGACTTTGCAGGAATTCTGCCTCTTCAGTGGCTAGTGTTTTTTTTTTTTTTTTCATTCCTGGCTCTTCCTGGAGTTCCATTTGATGGCTAATACTGTTGCCCCATATCATTCTGCCATGACAGAGACCCTCTCGCTCGCATTTTGGATGGAAGTGCTTTTGCCTCTTTCTCTGGCTATCTTGGGAATTCTTCCTCCTCTGAACTGCTTGGTGCCTTCTAGTTTTCTGGATTATGTTTTGCATATATTATCTTCAAATTGCCTTTGAGGTTATTTCAGCTGAGGATTTATTTTTTACGACAGCCTTTATTCTGGTCTTACTAGGTTTGGGATCATCGTGCTCATTAGCAGAAGTGGGGGTTCTGTATCTTTTCTTCACCTCCAGGCTTTGAAAGGGACTGTTGGTCATTGACACTTGGTTTGTCTGATTGAGGGGGCATCATATGTGACAGTAGCATTATTTAACCACTTTTCATGCTCTTTGGATTGAGGTTGTGTTTGTCAACCCTGTGTCCCATATTCTGTGATCCAAGTTCTGTTTCTACCAGGTCATATGTTGTGCAGTTCATTCTCATTACATCTGGAAGTTTACTAATATATTCCTGGCTAATATTCAGACTCTGTCCCTCAGCCTTTGTATGCTTATATTGCATTTAAGCACTTAGCATACTGCTGATGTTCTACCCCAGGTCCCCTTGTTCTTCTGTGGTCTTATTCCACATTATGCCCTGTCAGCATTTTCTGTTTTTATTAGAAAATGCTTGTTTCCTCTGACAAGGTACCATTGCAAGATAGATTTGGGAAGCAACTGAGGTGTCCTTCCCAAAATTCAAGCATTAAATGTAATGAAATAATTTTTTTGGTGGGATTCTCTTTTTACCCAAAAGGTAGAGAATGTGTGGGGGAAGGGGGATGGGGGTTGCTAGGATAGCTAGTGAAAGTAGTCAGTGTATCACATGGATCCCAGGGGTGCCACCTAGTGGTAGGTAGTCACAGCATGATTAATTAGTTTGTCATGGAAACTATTGTTTGCCTAGTTATCCTTGGTTCTGAAGTGTCTTCATGCAGTTGCTCGTTCTCTTGCACTTATGCTTTCTGGTGGAGATTATTTTGGTTTTGAATAGATCTCTGATTCCCAAGCTTTCCCTCAGTAGAGAGAGCAAAACTCTGGTCTTAATAGAGAAGGGTAGGTCTCAAAAGATTTGGGGTATGTACCTAAGGAATGGCTTGACCTGTCCTTAACTACTGGGGTCTACTAAGGTCCCCACCCAAGCAAAAAAAAAAAATAAAAAATCATTATATTCACTGCTTGATTGTTATAGTATTGTGTTGTTTAATAAAGCAGTATTGCATCAAAATATTGAAATCGATACACCTCTAGTGTAAACAAGCAGGAGTGCTTGTACTATTTAGGTATTGTCATAGAAAATTCCTGAACTGTCTTGCATTATTTAACCCTTAAACTGCGCAACACTTCAAATGACGTGTTTAGTAACTTACCCAAACTTGCGCATCACGTCGTGTGACGAGTACTACGCAAGATTTAAACGGCCCGTGGATACACGGAGTTCACCTCGCCTTCATCAGGGCTCTTGTAAACAAACGCCATTTAAACAAAAAAAATCATGGGCCACATTTCCGGGTGTGAGAGGCCTCAGTACTAAGTGAGCCACCATGGCTGACACACGTAGCATGAACTCACAGCACTGCTGTTCAGTTTGTGACCACAGCATCGCCTAAAAATGCCATAATATATATGTACATGCTGTTATTTAGCGATGATAGTATTACAGAAGACCCCTGACTGATAAAAATGACCAGGATTCTAATAATAGCAGGATTGTGATAATTAGCACTGTAGTGGGAGGAGTAATCTTGGTGGGGAGGGAGGTAGCGTTGTATGCTGACTTTGTGTGACCACCTTTTACTGTCTGGACTCACTATACCAGTTTAGTTGTTCGTTATAGTGAATGAAACATGCAGATACTTATATATAACGTCTGTATATAGTGAATAAAAGCAAAAACAGTATGGTGGGAGGAGAAGGGTGGCAAGTCAAGTGAAGTGAGGGAGGGAGTGACAGCCAGTGGCAGGTTGCCACTGGCTGCCACTGCCACTCAGTATACCAACCTAGTGGTTCATTATGGTGAACACAAATGTAGATACTTGTGTATAACGTGTCTATATAGTGTAATAACAGCAAAAGGAGTGTTGGGAAGAAGCCATTTTGAAGAGGGAGGTGACGACATCTGCATGATTTGTCATGCTGGGTAGGGGGTGGCGACTATGCTCTTTGGCTACTATACCAGTTTAGTTGAACAGTTATGGTGAACAGAACATGTAGATACTTATATATAACATCTGTATATAGTGAATAAAAGCAAATAGAGAGTGGCAGTGAGAGGCTGACTGGCAGATGTGGTGGCCACATCTCGCTGCTTTTTGACTTGCAATATCAACTTAGTGATTTGTTATGGTGAACAAAACATGCAGATACGTATATATAACCTATGTATATAGTGTAATGCCGACAAAGTATTTGTTTATTGTTTTATGAACACAGTAATTGAATCAATACTATGCACACCATAATTTTGAGAAAGCGATGATTCGCACATTTTATTATATAAATATATCACATTACACACTATTAGGTAATTATATCTTTGTGGCCACTCCTGCCTGACAACTGGGGCTGAGCAGACCGCCTCTGATGCATGCTGAGTCAGCGCCTCTTTTTTGCCAGACTTCCCCGCCCTATAGTGGGCTAAATATGCCACTTACGATTTTTTTATTATTTTTCCCGTGATCAGGGAACACAAATTAACAGGTTTAGAAGTTTTTTTTTTTTATTTTTTTTTCTATTTTTGTTATGTGCCTGTGGGTGACAATGGCCAAATAGCCCTTAGCAGCACAAGGGTTAAATATTTTAGCAAAAAATGACAACTTTTCTACTAAGGTATTTAGAATGTTTTCTAGATCCAAGCCAATTTGTAAACTTGGATGCTATTTAAAAGTCTGCTGTGTCTTTTGTTAGTTGGGGTGCAGTGTGTATAATGCAACTGAATCCCATCCTAAACTTGGCTAGCATTGCATAGTACAGTAGTTTGAGAACTCCATTTATGTGGTGTGCTGAAGAGTCAGTGTATGATTTACATTCACTTCCAGAGTTTGTTCTTCCTATCATGTTATCACAGTTACACCCCACATACCCATAGCTTACATGACTATATAGCCATGCTTTTTGTATACATGTATATGTTTTTGTGCTTTTTAGTGTTGTGCATGTGTTACTTCTCTTCAAGGCACTTTTTATTATACTTTTTGTAGGGGTGTTATTGAGAATGTGTACAATGGTATATTGGCTAATAGCAATGTTATGAGTGTATTTTGTGTGTACAGTACTGAGTATTGCTCAGCTGTAGAAGCCTGTTATTTTTTAACCTGTAAAGCATTTTATCAATTTGTTTCACTTAACATTTGCCATAGTTTGTTATTTAAAATGTGTGTAACTAATGCTCGAGGATATAATTATTCGTAAGTCCAATTCATTGCCACTACCAACTACAGATGTGGTAAATGTCGACGTTACATCAAGTTGGTGGAGACTAAACCTGTCCGTCTCCACTGTGTGACGTGTGATGAAACTTTTGCTGTGCCTCAGAATGGTGTTATACGAGAGTTTCAGGAGAACAGGTGTCCTTTAGATGACTTCCAGCTCTTGGTGTGGTCTGGTGGAGCTAAAGGGAAGAGTTTTACCTTCTGCCCTTACTGCTACAACAACCCTCCTTTCCCGTGAGTCATTCCCACCATTATTATGCTCATTGAATCCCATTACAAAATAATTTTTAGGTCATCTTGATACATATGCAGTGGATTTAATTGTGGATTAAATATAGTTGACTGAAAGGCAAGTTTCAATTGTTGTAAAGGGTTTAATTTTCTGTTTCAACACTTATAATACTGTACATGGGTTTTCAGTATCAGAGAAGTTGTTGATAAATATTTGTTCCAGATCACAATAATATCATTTAAAATAAGGATACATACTACAGGATACCTCCTTCAACTGCCAATATTATTGATTTATTGCATCTAATTCTTCTAATCTTTATATTCCAAAACAATAAAAAAATTTCTGGGAAGATGTGAATCAAACAAATTATTTTAAATGAATTTGATTATGGCATTTTCTGGGGGGAGCCCCGTCGGCTCCCTCGGAGCTATACAGGCTGATATGCTAATGTCAGACTTTGGAATCAGTCATGTGTAAGGAGTTCTATGGGCCTACCAGGGACCACAAGCCAGAACCTGGCCCCCTCAGAGAGGCAAGGAAACAGTGGCCTATAGAAACCCCCGTGTGGATGGAAGCATTTTCTGTCTGCCATCGACTGGGTTGGGCACCCAGAAAGGTAAGCGTCCCAAAACAAACCCCTATTCTGGTTAAAATTGCTACCTAACGCCGAACTAGTGGATAGAACTCCTCAAAAAGAAACGAGCAAACTAGCATGATGTCACACGTCACCGCGCCGCTGTCTGTGCAGCTCCTCCCTCCCCGGGAGGGGGGAAGAGGGAGCCCCAGACCCCCCACGCCGGCGATCCACACCCCAGTTCCTTTGCTGATGCTAAAAGCACCGGTTGTGTGCTCCGGCAATAGTGGTTGTTTCAGCACTGTACCTAGAGTGTGGTGTCTGTCTTTTAGGTGGTGCGTGAGCCGGGAGTGAGTCTCCAGTACTCGGGCTGCTTGGGGCTTGGTTACCTTCCACAAGTTCCTTGGGTCCTGCTTCTGCTAGGCCATTTACTGCTTGGTTTTCAGCTGCCTTTTGTGTGATGGGGGGTTCTGTCTCCCTTGTTCGCCTTAGGGTAATGTGCACAAACTCCAGTCTTAGGTTCAAGTAGGAAACTAGTTAGCAAGGGGCCTACCTTGCGATGGATTTTCAATGATTGTGACTGGTTACAATGAAATTATTGTGCTGTGATTTCAAGGAATATCAAGGAATTCTGGCGATTCCTAGATTTGTTTCAGCCTTAAGACTCGGCCACGATGGTACAAAAGTTGACCAACCTGGAACAATATTAAATTCGCTGAGAGGTTCTGGAGGCCCCAATATTGAGCCCAACCAAGGTGGGCCACCACACATTGACCTGACCACATTCTGGCCTTTGGTAATGGTATTTACACTTAAAATGCATTCAAAATGATTTTCATTGATATCACACCATTGTGATTTCATTGTGATCTAAGTACTGGTCGGCCGTTCGACCGGCGGTAGCCGGTCGGCCGAGCGGACAGCACGCTGGACTGTGATCCTGTGGTCCCGGGTTCGATCCCGGGCGCCGGCGAGAAACAATGGGCAGAGTTTCTTTCACCCTATGCCCCTGTTACCTAGCAGTAAATAGGTACCTGGGTGTTAGTCAGCTGTCACAGGCTGCTTCCTGGGGGTGGAGGCCTGGTCGAGGACCAGGCCACAGGGGACACTAAAGCCCCAAAATCATCTCAAGATAACCTCAAGATAGGGTAAGGGGCAGTTTGCACTGGTAGGGGCATAGGGTACTGTGCAGCTTGTTTTTACCAAACGTAGCTGCCGGTTCTGTTGCGCCTGAGTACACTGTACTCTTGCACGGGGTTTCTTTTTCTTTTTGTTTGTCTACCTGGTGGGGGTCTGCCTTTGGTTCTTTCCCCCTTTGTACTGAGTTCTCTTCCTTCTTCAGGTGGTTTCCCCTGCTAGGTCCCCATGAGTGTACACGTCCCAGGGGTTCAGTTCTTAGAAAGTTGTTTAGTAGACATGGGCGCCAGTTAGCAGTACCCTGCCTGGGATTACCTGAGTGCGAGTCCTTTTATAGTAAATGCTCAGGACCCTGGAAAACCCCTAGGGGGAGCGTGGGCCAGATGGATATGGCCCCGGAGTCCCCCCTTGCTTTGTACGAGTTCGAGGTTTGCTCTGTCCCCTTGTCTCAGGGTGACTCTCACTGTTTTGCCTCTATCTGCTGCCTGTGGGGTTGGTGACACCTTCGGCCTAGAGTCCTGCAAGTTTTGTTACTTGTTTGTGACTCAATTACCCAGTCTTATGCTGACTGTGGGTGCAGGCAGCACGGGTGTTGCATGTTGAGGTTGTGCCTTTTGGCTCTCCTATTGCTAGGTTTCGATTCTGGTTCCTGACTTTCCCGGCCTGTTTGCGTTTTCAGAGTCTTGCGGTGTCCTTTCTCTGGAGACTGTCGGGGTCTTGGTCTACAACCTCCTGGTGGCTCGCTAGCGTTGGGATTTTTTTCAGTACGACAGACGTTTCATCTCCTCCTTTGCCAGCTCGGGTTTCCGGCTCTGCCTGCTCGGTGGTCACACCTGAGGCCTTCCCGCAGCTCCGCCTCTTCCTCGGCTCGTTCGGCGCTGCCTCGAGTCTCGCCTTCTGATGGTGGTCAGGTGGCTTCCTTGCTGGTGTCCCACCTGCGTACTTCTTCTTGGCGGCAGTGTTTTTTTTTTTTTTTGGCAGTCCTTCCTTTTCCTTCTGTCCCTTCTTAGGTGGCTGTGTTTTGTTGGCGTTGTCTTGTTCCTCTATCGTAGGGGTTTGGGGCCGTCATTTTGCTGCATACTGTCGCCTAGTATCGCGCGGCGCTGTGGCGAAGCCACTTCCGTTTGGTATTGATGTTACTTCTAAGCCGTTCCACAAGCTGTCTCGGTGTTAGGTAGCAATTTTAACCAGAATAGGGGTTTGTTTTGGGACACTTACCTTTCTGGGTGCCCAACCCAGTCGATGGCAGACATAGAATGCTTCCAACTCCCCTTGCCTCTCTGAGGGGGCCAGGTTCTGGCTCGTGATCCCCGGTAGGCCCACAAAACTCCATACACATGACTGATGCCAAAGTCTGACATTAGCATATCAGCCTGTATAGCTCGGGGAGCCTCCGGGTCACACCCAGAAAATGGAGTTTCATTACGTTCAACGCTGGTTTTTTCAGGATTTATTTTATTTTAAATTAAGATTTCCTTAGATTCTTGGGTATTAATCACTTCATACAGTGGTTAAATATGTGTCCAAGATTGATTTTGGCACTGAATAATGATTGCACAAATACTGTAATTTAAAGTGTTGCTTTCAGGGACATGTCCAAAGGAAGTGGATGCAACCTTTGTTCTCACCCGACCTGCCAGTATGGCCGAGACAATGTGGGTGTATCCCAGTGCATGGAATGTCCAACTGGGATATTGGTTATGGATCCCTCATCTGGACCCAAGTGGAAACTGGCTTGTAATAGGTATGTTTTATATACAAGTCTGGAAATGTATATTTTAAGGTAGTTGTTAGTGGTCGAAATGTAGCAGACCCTTATGTAACATTGCTGTAACATTCCTGGAAGACTATTATATAGTAATAATGTAGCCTTCTGCCTTCTTAGTGAAGATTCAGACAGTGGACTATGGTTGTTAACCTAGTTGAGTAACAACTCCTCCACCTTACCAGAGAAAATAGTGAATATTTCTTAATCATTGCATTGTGCATAGTGCCTTAACCCCTAGGGTACTCTTGTGATTATAGTCTGCAACACACCGAGGTGCCAAAAAAAAAAAAATAATAATAATAATAATAATAATAATATTGTAAAAGTGTTCATGTGTGTTCCCTGACCATAGGAAAAATAAAAAAATCGTAGGTGACATATTTTGGCCGCAATTGGGCGAGGAAGTCTGACAAAGTTGAGGCGTTAACAGAGCAATCTTTGGAGGCTACTTTGGAGGACTAAATCTACACAGTAAAATAACAATGTATTGGAGTGAACGATATGGAAGAAAATGCAGAATAGAACCAGTGAAGAGCAGAGGTGCCATAGGCACAATCGGAGAACACTGTGTAAACGTCAGAGGTCCACAGTTGTTCAACGTTCTCCCAGCGACTATAAGAAATATTGCCGGAACAACCGTGGACATCCTCAAGATAAAACTAGACTGTTTTTAAAAAAAACGTGCCGGACCAACCGGGCTGTGGTGGGTATGTGGGCCTGCGGGCCGCTCCAAGCAACAGCCTGGTGGACCAAACTCACAAGTCAAGCCTGGCTTTGGGCTGGGCTTGGGGAGTAAAAGAACTCCCAGAACTCATTCAAGCAGGTATCAAGTAGGAGGCGGTCAGCTTCGCCAGAGTTGTCAGATGGGAGTCGCCACAAAGATATTATTCCCTAATTATTTCAATGTCTCTTGATTTTTTCTTATTTTTTTGCAGTAATATTATTCAATAGTTTGTAGTGCGATATATTTATATAATAAAATGTGTGAATCATTGCTATACTCAAAATTGTGGTGTGTGCATTAGTGATTCATTTATGTTCATAAAACAATAAACAAATAGTTTTGCTGTTATTACATTATATACACATAGGTTATATATAAGTATCTGCATGTTTTGTTCACCATAACGAACCACTAAATTGGTATGGTATCAAAACAACAAGGAGTGGCCACCACACCAAAAACCAAAGAGCCAAGAGCTGTGCGGGACCAAAGAGCTAGAGCTCAACCCCCGCAAGCACAATTAGGTGAGTACACCCCAGCCAGCCAGTCAGCCAATGCCACCTCCTTCCCTCGTTCAACAACACCTCACTCGCCAACACATCTCCCACCCTGTTGTTTTTGCTTTTATTCACTATATACAGACATTATATATAAGTATCTACGTGTTTTATTCACCATAACGAGCCACTAAGTTGGTATAGTAAGTCATAACAATGACAAGTGGCCACCACACACAGGCCAGCAAATGCGACCTCCTTCCCTCCCTCACCTCACTTGTCAACACTCCTCCCACCATACTGTTTTTTCTTTTATTCACTATATACAGATGTTATATATAAGTATCTACATGTTTTGTTCACCATAATTGTACAGCTAAGCTGGTATGGTGAGTTCAGACAATAATAAAGGTTGCCACACAGTCGGCTGATGCTGCCTCCCTCCCTCACTAAGATTCCTCCTCCTCCCACCATATTGTTTGTGCTGTTTTTGCACTATATATATTCACGTTATATATAAGTATCTACATTTGTGTTCACCATAACTAAACACTAAGCTGATACGGTGATTCTAGAGGATAACAGGTGGCCACAGCCACCTGTTATATGTGGCCACACAGCTTTGTCAGCAAACAAAGCTACCTCCCTCAGCATTACTCCCACCATACTTCGCACAGCACTAATTATCACAACAATCCTGCTATTATCAGAATCCTGGTCATTTTCATCAGTCAGGAGTCTTCTGTAATACTATCATTGCTAAATAATACCAGTTACATATATATTTCTGGGCAGAGCTCCTTCTGCTCCCCAGAGCTAACCAGGCTGATATGAATGTATTAGACCATGGCATCAGTTAATGCACATGGGAGTTCTAGGCCTACCGGGGACCACGAGCCAGTACCTGGCTCTCCTCAGAGAGGCACAAGGAGCAATGGCCTATAGAAACCCCCGTGTGGTTGAAAGCATTCTGTGTCTGCTGTCAACTGGGTCAGGCACCCAGAAAGATAACTGCCCCAAAACAAACCTCTATTCTGGTTAAAATATTGCTACTGAAAGCCAAATTAGTGGACAGAACTCCCCAAATGAAAAAAGTAAAAGAGTATGATGTCACCACGCCACTGTCTGCACAACCCCCCACCACCACCGGGGAGGGGGAAGGGGGAGCCCCAGATCCCAGTTCTGTGGCTGATATGAACTGGCAAGGTCATGTACCTCTAGCTACTGTGTTTTACAGTTCTGTACCTTGTGGTGTGGTCCTGTCTACTAGGTGGTGTGCAAACCAGGAGTAATTTCACAAGTAATTTCACAACCCTAGGCTGCATGTGCCAAAGGTTCTCTTCCCTAGGTGCCCTTAAGTACTGCCCTTGGGGCATGGGGCCAACTTCCACAAGCCATCTTGGGGTCTACCTCTGCAGGATCTTTGCTACTCGGTGATTGACTGCCCTTGGAGTCAGCTGTGGTGTTTCATGCACCATTGTTTGCCTCTGGGTAGGGGGTAGTTTTGTCACTAGTTGGGGCGCAGGGGACTGTGCAGCTAGTTGTCACCTCTCATAGTGGCTGGCTCTGCTCCACCTAAGCACGTTGTCCTCTTGTGGGGTTTTTCTTTTGTTTTTGTTTTCCTGCCTGGTGGGGGTCTACCCTTTGGTTTTGGTCACACACCATTACATCTCGGTGGTCCTCTATTAGGACCCTGTGAGTGTACATGTCCTGGGAGTTCAGCTTTAGCAGTTTGCTTAGTAATCTTGGGCGCCGGTTAGCAGTACCCTGCCTGGGCTTTCCTTAGCGAGATACGCAACTAAGGGCCCTAGGAAATCCTACAGGGGCTCTTTGGTCTGATGGATGCGACTCCTGGGTCCCCTCTCCCTTCGTAGGAGTTCGAAGGGTGCTTTGTTCACCCTTGTCTCGGGGTGACAATCACTGGTTGTGCCTCAGTCATGCTGCCTGTTGGGTCGGTGACACTATTGACCCGGAGTCTTGTGAGTGGTGTTGCTTGCACGTTCTCCATTTCACCCGGCTACTGAGCTTAATATTTGGGTACAGGCAGCTTTGGTGTTGCACGCTCGTTTTGGGTTGCTGCAGCGCGCTAGGTTGGTTGTTACCCCAAATGCCCTGAGACTGTCCCATTTTGGTTATAGGGACTCGGACTTGGGGGTGTTAGTCGCTTTAACTTTGGTTCAGTCCGAACCTCCTTGTCCTTGCCCTTGTGTTCGTCCTGGTCCCCTCCCCCCTCCAGCCTTAGAACTGGGGTGTGGATAGCTGGCGTTGGGGTCTGGTCTCCCCCTTCCAGGAGGGTGGGGGGGTGCGCAGACAGCGGCGCAGTGACGTCATGCTCGTTTGCTCGTTTTCAGTTGAGGAGTTCTGTCCACTAGTTTAGCTTTCAGTAGCAATATTTTAACCAGAATAGGGGTTTGATTTAGGGCGCTTGCCAATCTGGGTGCCTGACCCAGTCGATGGAAGACAGAATGCTTCCACCCACAGGGGGGCATCTATAGCCTATTGCCCCTCATGCCTCTCTAAGGGGGGCTAAGTTCTGGCTCGTGGTCCCAGTAGACCTAGAACTCCATATGACTGATGCCACATGGCATCAGTCACATGATGATGACTGACTGATGCCAGGGGTCTAATACATTCATATCAGCCAGGTTAGCTCCGGGATGTCTCTGGGTCTCACTCAGAAAATGGCGTTTCATTACATTCAACGCTGTTTTTTTTTTTTTAACAGGAAAATATTATAATTGATACTTTTATGTATATTAATTACATTATTATGGCAACTTCTTTATATAGACAAATAATATTTAACTAAAATAAATTTTAACTTGATGGAGTTCAAAGTTATCTTGATCATCCTCAGATACAAATACTGTACTGTACAATGCAGTATATTACACATCAAGGACTTTAATACTGTATATATTTTACATGCAGTGAACATATAATGTGCCTGTTAGCAGCTTAACTTTTCAGCTGTGCATCACATCATATAACTGGGTAGATAAAAAAGTTCCAACTGCGCATCACATCACAAATGGCCTGTGAAGAAAATGGATCACCCATATGCTGCCCCAAGGGTGATAGTAAACGGCAGCCATCTTGAAAAAAAATCCTGAGTAGGTTGGTTTGGTCGATAGGCCTTGGTCTTTCTCTAGTAACCATGTCTGACGCACCGTCGTCTGCCTGATGCTGCCACGCTGTGGCTCGCTCCAAAACATTCACTGACTGAGGAATAAATTTAAGATGAACTTTTCTCAACTGGTAAGGAAAGTATCAGGAATGATTCTGATCATGATAAGGATTATGCACAGGGCACCAGTAAAAGTGGTACGGACAGTGATGATATTAAAATGTGACACGTGTGTTATTGTCCTGGGGGTGAGGCATACTTTACCACTGCCATGCCATCCTCTTTCCACCCTATCACTGCTACTGCCACACCTTCCTTGTGAGTTTTTTCCTCATTTGGGAAATTGAGGGAAAACAGCCCTCATCTTCCAAACTTCATAGCCACTGTGTGTTGTAGATGGTGTTCATCTTCTAGCCAACGTACGTTTGTTGGTGCTAGGATACATGGCTGTGGTATTACTGGTGCTACCGCCAAACAGGTGTACTTGTGTGGAGTGATGGTGCAGACTTTGTATGACACGTTCCAAGATTTGAGGCTACTGATGTGGTTACTGATCGCTTCCCTTACACTGGCTTTGACATGAATGAAATGGACGATTTTTTTAGCATACCGTACTTTGACCAGCCGCTCATGGAACATACTTTTCAGGAAACTAACAGATATGCTGCAGTTGAGGAGTTCTGTCCACTAGTTTAGCTTTCAGTAGCAATATTTTAACCAGAATAGGGGTTTGATTTAGGGCGCTTGCCTATCTGGGTGCCTGACCCAGTCGATGGAAGACAGAATGCTTCCACCCACAGGGGGTGGAAGCATATTCGCGATTGCAGTGTTGGAAAAACACCACGGTACCAAAACTTTGTGCTTTTGGTTCTGTATATGACGACGAAACATTTAGTGAAACACGTAATCCAGACTGTTGTCTCACCCCGTTTCTGGAAACATGTCATGTGACAGGTTTCTGCCGTCATGATTTTGAAAATATTAAAAACCTGTGACCAAAATGATTGTACTTCCTATTCACTTCACATGGTACATGCTTCACCCTCTACAGTCTAAGATGTTAGGCTAGATGCTTCTGATACACTACGTCAAAAGCTAGTGATTAACGAATGTCTTCTGCTGTTCAATGGAGTCTTGCCTTCAGGCAGTATATTCCATCAAAAGGCACAGATTTGGGCTCAAATTTTTTGTTTTGAGTGTAATTACCTAAGTGTAGTTACAGGATGAGAGCTACGCTCGTGGTGTCCCGTCTTCCCAGCACTCTTTGTCATATAACGCTTTGAAACTACTGACGGTCTTGGCCTCCACCACCTTCTCACTTAACTTGTTCCAACCGTCTACCACTCTATTTGCGAAGGTGAATTTTCTTATATTTCTTCGGCATCTGTGTTTAGCTAGTTTAAATCTATGACCTCTTGTTCTTGAAATTCCAGGTCTCAGGAAGTCTTCCCTGTCGATTTTATCAATTCCTGTAACTATTTTGTATGTAGTGATCATATCACCTCTTTTTCTTCTGTCTTCTAGTTTTGGCATATTTAATGCTTCTAACCTCTCCTCGTAGCTCTTGCCCTTCAGTTCTGGGAGCCACTTAGTAGCATGTCTTTGCACCTTTTCCAGTTTGTTGATGTGCTTCTTAAGATATGGGCACCACACAACAGCTGCATATTCTAGCTTTGGCCTAACAAAAGTCATGAACAATTTCTTTAGTATATCGCCATCCATGTATTTAAATGCAATTCTGAAGTTAGAAAGCATAGCATAGGCTCCTTGCACAATATTCTTTATGTTATGTTGTGTGCAAGAGGAACGGTGATCGACATGATTTTATATTCTGGTAGTGATGTTGGCATTCCAAATAATGATCCTCACAGTTTCTCGGAATTGTAATGAAAACGATGATGGCACCACTGTTGATCAAAGGCTACATTTTATATACAGACAATTACAATAACAGTTCCTTGCTAACTAGGTTCCTGCTAGAACACAGAAATGGAGTGTGTGGTACAGTAAAACCGCAAAGGAGGGAAATGCCAGCGTAAGAGGAAAATATAGGTGTAGGTGAGTGCCAAATGCTAAAGTGACAATATACTTGTAGTGCTGTGGAAAAAGACATGAAGTATATATGTTGACAACCATTCACACTAGTAGACACTGGCAAGGTGAACAGAACAACACAAGCAGTGACTAAACTAGATTGTTATGGACTATAACAACCAGTGTCTCTCCTGCTTGCCCAATAAGCAAGTGGGACAGGCTCTGGTTGTTCCTTCGTGCCCAAGATGGCAGCTGTAAGCACTGCCTGTGTATGTCAAAAAATTTGTATCAAGTAAATGCAAATAGAATGGCTAATTAAGTGAGTAGAGAATTTTGAGAGTAGTTGTGCATTATTGGAGTGTTTGCATTAAAATCATGAATTTTACTTTTGAAATTTTAGCATCATTGGAACAAGCGTGTGTTAAGAGGACTACAGGTTTTATTTTCCTTTTATTCCATTTAATTATTTTTCCTGCTTCTACCTTTAATTTACTTAAAAGTAATCTTTTGGCATTCTCATTTTGCAGTACAGTAAATAGATTTTCCAGTAGAATCACAGCAGGAAGTATATAGACATGCAAATTGGAATAATATATATGTCTATTTAAATGAATTTTCAAGTACTGTGTACCAAAATTTTAAGTGTGTTAAAATGTCTGCCTTCATTTGTTAATTTTTGTAATTACAAGTGATTGAATAAAGATATTTACACTTTATTGATTTACCATTACATTTTATTAAATAAAAGCCTTCATTCGCTATCACATTAAATTCTGTACAACATGTATGCATTTTGATTAGTGTGTTTTAAGAATACTATAATGTTCTAATCAAATTATATAGATAATACACTCCTAATGGTAAATTACTGCAGTTGCAAAATATTACTTATAGCTTTTGACATAATAATTTGTACTGCAGATGTGACGTCATAATAAACCTCTTCGACAAAGCCAGCAAGGTTCAGGTTCTTGAAGATACCTGTGAGGATTGTGGCTCTCAAACAGTCACTGTTGAATACAAGGAGGTAAATATAGACTTATATAGAGCATATCTATTTTAGCATCATCAAATTGAGTATCATTTATTAAGTGGTTTAGTGGAGTGCTAAAATAATTAATGTAATGCTAGTTATTAAAGCTCTCATTATTGTACAGGGAAAGAGTAAACTGAGAGACGGACAGTTGACAACAAGTGGATGTATATTCTGCAGTGCCACTCTAATACCCCTGGTGGAAAAACACAGAGCTTCCCAAGATGGGGGTCGTGGCAGAGGACGAGGGAGAGGGAGAGGAAGGGGAGGAAGCAGGGGAGGGAGAGGGAGCAGCCGTGGTGGACGAGGTCGTGGTGGTGGCAGAGGAAGAAGATAGTATTTTACACATTTTTTAAATACTTCTTTAAATATCAAGTTTTATTTATTCCTGTGTGAAAAAATTTACAATGTGGCTTTTGTAAATATTTCTTCATAATAAATATGGAGATAATAGGCATATTGTTTTATCATACCTCTTGTTAACTCTTATAATTTTTTACTTAGGCATTATATTCCACTTATTTCCTAGGTACATTATTTTTCTGTTGGGAGCCCCTTCGGCTCCCTGGAGCTATCTAGGCCGATACGGATATATTAGACTGGCATCAGTGTGAATGGATTTCATAGGCCTACCAGGGACCACGAGCCAGAACCTGGCCCCCTCAGAGAGGCACAAGGGGCAATGGCCTATATAATTGCACATGTGATTTGTAGCATTCCATGTCTGCCATCGACCAGGTCAGGCACCCAGAAAGGCAAGCATCCCAAAACAAACCCCTTCTGGTTGAAACTACTACTGAAAATTAAACAAGTGGACAGAATTTCCCAAAGAAAAAGAAGCAAACGAGCATGATGTCACCACTTGCTGCACTGGTGTCTTCGCAGCTCCCCCTCCCTATGAGGGGGAAGGGGGAGCCCCAGACCCCTCACGCTGGCTCACTCCTGACTTCTGTCCTTTGCTCTGTGCCTTGTGGTGTGGGGCGAGTCTTTTCTGGTGGTGCACGAGCCAGGAGTAATCTCCCAAGTACTTTTACTGCATGCACCTAGGGTCACCTTCCCTAGGTGCCCTGTAAGTACTGCCCTTGGGGCTTGGGGTTATCTTCCACAAGTCACCTTGGGGTCTACCTCTGTTGGTCATTTGCTGCTCGGTCATTGACCGCCTTGAGTGTGCTGGGGGTTTCCACCTCCTTTTGTTTACCTTAGGGTAAGGGGTAGTTTGCACAGGTAGGGGCATGGGGGTACTGCACAGCTAGTTGTCACCTATTACAACTAGGTCACCTATTTCGCCTGGGTATGTTGTCTTCTTGTAGGGTTTTCCTTTTGTTTTTGTTTTCTGCCTGGTGGATGGGGGTCTGCCTTTTGGTTCGTTGCCCCTGTCTATAACTTTTATTTATTTATATATATACAGTATATATATATATATATATATATATATATATATATATATATATATATATATATATATATATATATATATATAGATATATATATATAGATATATATATATATAGATATAGATACAGATATATAGATACAGATATATAGATATAGATATATAGATATAGATATATAGATATAGATATATAGATATATATATATATATAGATATATATATATATATATATAGATATATATAGATATATATATAGATATATATATATATATATATATATATATATATATATATATATATATATATATATAGGATATACATGGGTTGATACAAAAATAATAATGCAAAAGGTGCTTAAAGGTTATGGATCTCTTGAAGAACACAACAATGGGAAACATTGATGAATGTCACAGACGGGTTCGATCATTGTTGCAAGTCAAACACTTCTTCGAATTCCTCTGAAGTTGGACTAGTGCCCAAGACGCAACAGGCATTTCCCCTTTGAATCGCAACACTGAGGCGCTGGAACAAGAAACTTTTTGCTCTCTGGTCTTTTGTAGCGCTGATCAATTTGTCCCCCAATTCCTTCAGGAACTTCAATGCACATTTTCCCCACGAACCGAGGGTCTCCGAGCCGATCGGAACAAAGCTGTAGCAGTGTGCTAGACCTCTGTATTTAATAATTTTCTGCGATTCCCTGAAAGAAGCAGCACCACCGCTTTCACGTGTGCTGTAGTGGAGGTAGGTACTGGCCAGTGTGGCAGCGCACGTGTAGTCCCATACCACTTGCTTACCATCCTTCCAAGGTAGCAAGGTGACCCCATCAGGGCGCTTCTGAGGGTCGTTAGGTCTGGATAAGTGTGGTTCTCTTTGTGCCGGGCAGCGGGCTGTGGCGAGGCTCCTCTTGATGATGTCGTTGACTTCTTCATGTCTTGCAATTTTACCCTGTGATTTACGACATACCAGACCATGACGACCATATTGGTCTGCCATCGCAGTTCCGCAGATGCACCTATGTTCGGTGAGGATGGGGGCGGCAAGGCGAAGGGCAACTCCAATGCGGAGAGCGTCATGACTGAGGCGAGTTCCCAGGGCTGCATTGGGCACAGCAAATAAAAAATCCCGGCGTGGGGTGCTGTTACCGCTAGGAGGCGGGCTTTGTTTTCAGCATCAGCGTTGTCAATCATTGCTGTGACAGTCTTTTCCATTATGGGGCTATCCCAGTGGGCCTGCTTGTGGTCTTTTGGGACTTGTGGTCGGGGTTGAGGGTGTGCAATGGTGTCCCATTGTCTGGCTGCTTCGATGAACGTTTGATCATGAGTTCCCGCTGTCTCTCTCATACGCTCTGGTAGGATCTGCCCTACCAATTCGTTGGCTGCTGTACATGAGGATAAGAATGCTGGAAGTGCTACCTCAGTTGCCTTTCGTATGCCTATCCCTCCAAATCTCACTGGTAGTGTTGCTTGGTCCCACTGACTGTCATCTAAATCTAGGTTGAGCGCCTTCCTGAATATTGACCTGAGGAGCTCATCATATTGATTTAGAAGTGGGTTGCCAAAAGTTGGTGCACACCTTAAGAAGTATGTTAGCCTGGGCAGGGTAAGGCACTTTGTGAGAAGGTAGAGGGCATCGTGGGAGTCCAAGTCCCCAATTCTCTCTTCCATCCTCTTTAGGTCTCTAAACTTTTCGTCAAGGACTGCAGCAATAGCATTGTGGCCCAGAGGTGCTCCGAGTAGTGTGCTGTCGGTAGGTTTAACGACTGAGGCTTCTGGTAGAACTGATTTCACTGCTCTAATGATTACTTCACTAGATGCAATAATTTCGCACTTGGAGGGGCTAAGAACGAGACCCATGGACTCCCCCCGTGTCTTCACCAGCTGTAAGTCTTCTAGCAGGGAATCTTGTGTGCCTGCCAGAGTGCCATCATCCAGGAACCAGATGTTGAGCTCGCTGGACAGTCTGGTTGTAATTTCTCGAACCGCTATGCAAAAGAGGAACGGTGCAAGTGGGTCACCCTGTTGAATTCCCTCTGCTGAGGTGACTTCATGTTTGCCAAACAGGAGGGTTGAGTCTTTGCTGTAGCCTGCTGACACAAACGGGAGAATGCTTGGGCAATGTTCCTGGACTGCAGTGAGGATTGCTTCCCTTTTGACCGAGTTGAAAGCGTTTTTAAAATCTAATTTTACTACTGCCTGGTCTTCAGTACTAAACTAGATTGTTATGGACTATAACAACCAGTGTCTCTCCCTGCTTGCCCAATAAGCAAGTGGGACAGGCTCTGGTTGTTCCTTCGTGCCCAAGATGGCAGCTGTAAGCACTGCCTGTGTATGTCAAAAAATTTGTATCAAGTAAATGCAAATAGAATGGCTAATTAAGTGAGTAGAGAATTTTGAGAGTAGTTGTGCATTATTGGAGTGTTTGCATTAAAATCATGAATTTTACTTTTGAAATTTTAGCATCATTGGAACAAGCGTGTGTTAAGAGGACTACAGGTTTTATTTTCCTTTTATTCCATTTAATTATTTTTCCTGCTTCTACCTTTAATTTACTTAAAAGTAATCTTTTGGCATTCTCATTTTGCAGTACAGTAAATAGATTTTCCAGTAGAATCACAGCAGGAAGTATATAGACATGCAAATTGGAATAATATATATGTCTATTTAAATGAATTTTCAAGTACTGTGTACCAAAATTTTAAGTGTGTTAAAATGTCTGCCTTCATTTGTTAATTTTTGTAATTACAAGTGATTGAATAAAGATATTTACACTTTATTGATTTACCATTACATTTTATTAAATAAAAGCCTTCATTCGCTATCACATTAAATTCTGTACAACATGTATGCATTTTGATTAGTGTGTTTTAAGAATACTATAATGTTCTAATCAAATTATATAGATAATACACTCCTAATGGTAAATTACTGCAGTTGCAAAATATTACTTATAGCTTTTGACATAATAATTTGTACTGCAGATGTGACGTCATAATAAACCTCTTCGACAAAGCCAGCAAGGTTCAGGTTCTTGAAGATACCTGTGAGGATTGTGGCTCTCAAACAGTCACTGTTGAATACAAGGAGGTAAATATAGACTTATATAGAGCATATCTATTTTAGCATCATCAAATTGAGTATCATTTATTAAGTGGTTTAGTGGAGTGCTAAAATAATTAATGTAATGCTAGTTATTAAAGCTCTCATTATTGTACAGGGAAAGAGTAAACTGAGAGATGGACAGTTGACAACAAGTGGATGTATATTCTGCAGTGCCACTCTAATACCCCTGGTGGAAAAACACAGAGCTTCCCAAGATGGGGGTCGTGGCAGAGGACGAGGGAGAGGGAGAGGAAGGGGAGGAAGCAGGGGAGGGAGAGGGAGCAGCCGTGGTGGACGAGGTCGTGGTGGTGGCAGAGGAAGAAGATAGTATTTTACACATTTTTTAATACTTCTTTAAATATCAAGTTTTATTTATTCCTGTGTGAAAAAATTTACAATGTGGCTTTTGTAAATATTTCTTCATAATAAATATGGAGATAATAGGCATATTGTTTTATCATACCTCTTGTTAACTCTTATAATTTTTTACTTAGGCATTATATTCCACTTATTTCCTAGGTACATTATTTTTCTGTTGGGAGCCCCTTCGGCTCCCTGGAGCTATCTAGGCCGATACGGATATATTAGACTGGCATCAGTGTGAATGGATTTCATAGGCCTACCAGGGACCACGAGCCAGAACCTGGCCCCCTCAGAGAGGCACAAGGGGCAATGGCCTATATAATTGCACATGTGATTTGTAGCATTCCATGTCTGCCATCGACCAGGTCAGGCACCCAGAAAGGCAAGCATCCCAAAACAAACCCCTTCTGGTTGAAACTACTACTGAAAATTAAACAAGTGGACAGAATTTCCCAAAGAAAAAGAAGCAAACGAGCATGATGTCACCACTTGCTGCACTGGTGTCTTCGCAGCTCCCCCTCCCTATGAGGGGAAGGGGGAGCCCCAGACCCCTCACGCTGGCTCACTCCTGACTTCTGTCCTTTGCTCTGTGCCTTGTGGT